CTTTGTAACAAATTTGTTGTTTAAAATTTGTTGTTTAAATTTTTCGTATTAAACCAATATCCAAGACTATTATTATGACTTGCTACGCAGATACTATAATTAAAATTAAACATACTAGATGAAATGAAAAAGATGATACTAAAGCATATTCAGTGTGGGCTATTGGAATGTACCCAGTGATGATAATGAAATAGAGGTAACTTTATTTTTACCAGTCAATTCAGATAATCGAAACCCAGAATCGCAAGCTATCTTTAAAAGAGATGAATACTACTCTGTCAGAGGAAAAATTATATCTGGATCCTATGCTGGAAAAATTAAACCAAAAATACTTAAATGCATTACTATATTATCACCAAATAATACTCTAAGACGTTATTCAGAGACACATAGTTTAAAGAGAATCAATAATTGATTTGCTGAAAGCCTTTTTATATTTTGATATTTCATAGTATCATTTTTTTAAAAAAAAAGCTTTTTATTGAATCTATTGTTGATTCTCTTTAAATGATGTATCTATGAATAACATCTTATAGCATAATTTTACAACAATACAATATATAAATTTTAAAAATTTAAAATTAACACTTATTTAATATTTAGATGATTGCTGCTACTTCAACTCACATGGCAATTGCTAATAGAATCACCGATGCAAATAAATGTCCCTTGAAAGTCTCTTTGGTAGGAGTTCCTCAGAAAATGCTGATTGAAATTAAAGACACAGGAGAATCTGTTATCAAAACACTTATATCAGACTATATTAGTCAACCCCATAATTACACTGTTAAGGTGGTCTTTCCGTATGATAATTCCTGATTCAAACATTTTAAAACAACAATTCACCTACAAGAGTCAATAATTTTCGTAGTTGGACAAATGGAAATTATAGCTAACGAATTATATGTTTATGCTAATGATATCAATTTTATCAATACTCATTTTATTACTAAAAAAAAAGAACTTCCTGATACTGAATTACCTTCGACTAATCCAATTCCAAATCCAACATGATATAAACTTCTTAATGTTCATCAAACTATAACTCAAAATTCAGAAGTTGATCCCGAAAACAATCTTCCTTCATTGAAACGCAAACGATCTGATGAAAATGTTAAACCAGAAGACACTAATCCTACTACCGATGATGATATTGAAGATTGTCAATCAAATTCAGATAATTCCATTCATACAGATCAAAAATCTGAAACTAATGATGCAACTAAAGATTGTAACAAAAAAATAATATTTGTCCAACTCGAATTACACGCAGTTATAAAAAAGCAACTGTAATTTCTGATGAAAAATAATTGTTACCCGATAGTCAGTAATATATATATATATATTATACCATTAAATTTCTTATATTTTTTATACTTTATTACTTTATTATTCTATTAAAATATCATTTATTTATTACTGTAAATGTTAAAAACTAATAATAAAATTTGTAGGAATACTTATCGCTTTAAATTTTACATAAGTTCAAAAATCTTATCGTTACATGTTTCAACCATAATCATCTCTAATATTATAAATCAGAAAATTATCATAACAATATAATTAACTTAAAATTAATATAATACAA